AAATCTTTTCCCTTGGTTTATCTTTGTGGGTCTTTGTGGGGTATTAATTTATCTCCTTGATTCAAGTTGCCCCTACTTAGTTGGAGAGAGCATAATTTTGGTTGTGCTTTAGTTATTGCAAAAGAGCATTGCAATTATAACTGCTTATTTGCATTCCCTTCCTTTTGAGTAGGAGCATGGTGGGTTTCCCAAAATAGACTTCTTTTGCAAGAAATGTCAAGAAAGCCTGGATAGTTTTTTTCCGTCCAGCGCTGGTTGCTTTCACTGAGACATGTAGACGTTGGATGGTTTCTGGGTCTTTAGAGGAGCTGAGGGTCGTTCTGGATGATCTCGTTGATCTGTTGGTGTGTTTAGATGTATTACAGAGCTGCAGGATCATGTTTCCAGCTAAATGCATCTTGCGTTTTTCTTTTTTTTTTCACAAGGAAAAAACCCCCCAAAAAACCCTATTAATCATAAAATCAAGAGAAGTTGTTCAGCAAGAGATATGAATCTGCTTAGATTTTAGAAAATCCAAATGAATCATACAGCTGTCTCACTCGTGGCAACTTTTATTTCATTGTATTTGCATTTGCTCAGATGATTAATGGTTCGTGTTTGTGACTGATCGTCAGTGCTATGAAATGTTGCCTCTCCAAACAGTTGAGACACCTGAAGAAGGCAGAGCTTTCTTTTCTCGGTATCCAGGTAGCAGATGGTGCCACATCGATGGGGTGAGATGGATCCAGAGCAAAGCAGAGTTAGGGAATATCTGCTCAAGTTGTATATATATGCATCAATTTCCTCCGTTACTGATTAAGTATGAAGAAATCTGGGATCCTACCTATTGCATTCCAAATATTCAGTAGGATAAAGGTTTCCCTTGGCATTTAGTCCAGTCGTGTCTGACTCTACGTTGGCATTTAGTCCAGTCATGTCTGACTCTACATTGCGGTGCTCATCTCCGTTTCCAAGCTGTAGAGCCAGCATTTTGTCTGAAGACAGTTTCTGTGGTCACGTGGCCAGTGCGCCTAGACACGGAAGGCCCTTACCCCTTCCCACCGAGGTGGTTCCTCTTTATCTACTCGCCTTTTTACATGCTTTCGAACGGCTAGGTTGGCAGGAACTGGGACGCGCAAATCCCTCTGTCGCGTGGATTCGATCTTACGACGGCTGGTCTTCTGACCTTGCAGCAGAGAGGCTTCTGCAGTTTAACCCGCAGCGCCACCACGAATGTTATTGGCTGGGAAAGGAGGCTTAACTAGGACTAAGCAGTTCCTCCCTATTTTCCTCCTCACCTTCATTTCCACTCCTTTCTCTCTCTCTCTCCCTGCCCTTTCTTCACAGGATCTAGCTCCAAAGCGCTACGCTTCCAGATAGGGACACAATTCAGCCAAGTTGAGTTGATAAAGGCTGACCATTTTGTTGGTGGCTGAAGGTGATCTCGGAAGCCCTTAGTTTAAATATTTGCCCTTCTGATTTCCTGGCCTTTAAATAAAAGAGGTCGAAATAAATAAATAAATAAATGCATATATTCATTTATTTATTTGCAAGATTGTTTAGCCGCACCATTACCAGTGGTCTCTGAGTGGCGTACAACAATATTAAAACTTTAAAAACATTAAAAGTAGGCAATATTTTAATAATATACCCTATATTAAAAACAGTCATTAAAGCATTAATATTTTAAAATTGTTGGGTCTTTGTGTGTGGGGGGGTGCCTGATCCGTAAGAGATCACGGGCATGGAAAGATGGCCAGATAGTTAGTTCAATTGAAGCGATGTGCTTTTTTACCTACGTGCATTTTTAGCTGCTGTTACTGTCTGACAAATGCGTACATTCTCATTGAGATCGACCCAGCCCTCAATGATTCTCATTGTCTTATTTTTTTAACTTTCTCATTTAGTCATTTATAACTGCCTAAAAGCTCCATAGGCCCAAATATATGTTTCAGTTTCATACATACAGAAATGGAAGGCGGGCGAGAGAATCAACAGTACTAGATATTTATCTATTGGTTGGTTGGTTGGTCAATTTGCTGCCTGCCTTTCTCCCCTTAGGGGACCCAAGACAGGTTTCAACAGAGGTCCAAACAGTGCTAGGGCTGGTTCAGTTTGGAAGTCCAGACTCACATGCCAGAATCCTCCTCCATACAATAAAATAGACAGAGGTCCCCCATCAGAAAAAAGACAAGGTAATCAGGCTGGGAGCATCCCCCCATTGAGCGAAGAAAAAGTGAGAGCATCTTTTCTAATGCTACAAGTTGTCACGATGAGCGAGTTTCTAACTGGGTTTCCTCAATGAAACGGGTTAGCGACTGTTTTAGGACAGATTTTAAACAGTACTTGTTCACCCAGCAGGAGAGATGTGAATTTCACAGCCTCTCGCTCTCAGAAAGAAACCAAAAGGAATTGCATTTTTCCTCTTTCCAGCGTGATGTCTCTGCATGAGATTTGTCTTTCCCTTGAGAAATTTCACTGGGAGGAAGCCTTGCCCATCTTCTTGAAGTTTCATGGTCATATTTATTTTTTCTTTTTCCTTGGAGAAGTGCCAAGGTGCACAGGATTGTCACAGTTCTCATATTGATTGGCATCCTTCCTAGGAAGCATTTGCCTGCAACGAGTAGCCCAAACGCCCATCTTCTTGAAGTTTCATGGTCATATTTTTTTACTTTTTCCTTGGAGAAGTGCCAAGGTGCATAGGATTGTCACAGTTCTCGTATAGATTGGCATCCTTCCTAGGAATCATTTGCCTGCAACGAGTAGCCCAAACGGCCAGCTGTGTAGAATGGTTACTATCCTGGTGCAGAAGGGCATCTTGACAACGTAGGGCCAAATCACACAGGCCATTTGAATCATGTCAATTTTCTGCTCCATGCACCCTGATACATATTTATAGTCACATGGTGTATAAATTGCTGGGTGCATTCACACAGCTGTCTTTTCTTTCGATGCATATCTTGAACTTTGAACAGGTGAGTCCACGTGTGCCAGCCCAACAAAACTGACTCATTTTCCATTCTGTTTCAGGAACACACTGCCCTAAATTGCTTTTTATTGTTGTTAAGAAATACATAAACGGTATATCGCTAAAGTAGCATCTAAAGTTGTGTGAAGAACTTTAGAAGGCAATATCGGAAGACGTTTCATAATGCAAGGTTTTCCCTTGATAGTTAGTTACTTGTTTTCAAGGCACATTGTTTCTTTCTTCACAAGGTGGGGTGTTTCTCCACATTGGGAAGGGACAGGGGAGGACGTGTGTAACAAGGAAGTGATGCAGCGTTAAACTCTTGGGGGAGAGAATACCAATACATCACTTAGCATTTGAAAAAAAGATAAAGGGAATAAGCACAGTGGCCATGCACTGCCCATGGCGGCAAAAACAAATAGGTGCAAACTAAATCGACAGCAACATTCACGTATGTCAAACTGAAATGGATAGAAACGATTTAGGGATCAGATGATTTTAAAAAGCCCCTGTCGTTGAGGTTGAAAAAACTCAATCGGTTGGCCATAGGAATCAATTTCAGTTGTGCGTCATGTGAATGGAAATTCATAAAAGAATTTAAATAACAGCAGAATCAATGTAAGTGTGGTTCTTATGGTCTGTGCGATTGTGTCCTAAGATTCACCAGCAAAGGCCAAAGAAAACATCTAACCATGCAAGATTGTTCCACTTCCTGTATAGGAATTCATGTTTCCTGCACAGGATTCACTAGAAAGGACATTAAGCTACAACTGGGTGGAACAAGTACTTCGTGTGTGTGAGAGAGAGAGAGGTCTCAGTAGGTATGATGAGATCTGGAAAACTGAAAAGACTGAAAAATTTTGCCAGTACTCCTTATGCAATGTATTGTTAAATTATGGTTTAAGCCAACTGTTCGTTTGTTTGTTTGTTATTTACTTTGTATCCCATTCCCATTCATACCGCAGCACTACTCTGGGTGGATTATAACACGTAAAATAGAAAACGTGGTGGTGCTGCGGGCTAAACCGCAGAAGCCTGTGCTGCAGGGTCAGAAGACCAAGCAGTCGTAAGATCGAATCCACGTGACGCAGGGAGCTCCCGTCGCTTGTCCCAGCTCCCGCCAACCTAGCGGTTCGAAAGCATGCAAATGCGAGTAGATAAATAGGGACCACCTCGGTGGGAAGGTAACAGCGTTCCATGTCTAAGTCGCACTGGCCATGTGACCATGAAAGATTGTCTACGGACCAACGCTGGCTCTATGGCTTGGAAACGGGGATGAGCACCGCTCCCTACTCATTCATTCATTCATTCACTTTGTATCCCATTCCCATCCATATCACTGCACTAATCTGGGCGGATTATAGCACATAAACTAGAAAACCAACATAAAAATGGAGACATTAAAATCAATAGGGTTAACTCTTTAAAAAAAAACAAGAACAGTTAGCACCAACTAATCTCACAGGAAAAGAGGGGAGAGAAGAAGAGGAGGGGAAAATAAAAAACAAGCCGTGGGGGAGGTGGTCAGCTGGGGTCGGTGTGGAAAGCCCGGAATGGCTTTAAAACGGGATTGGACAAAATGGGTGGAGGATGAATCTCTAGTCAAGTGAATGGATCATACAGGACAGGGGGCTTCTCTGCCGTTGCCCTCGTGGCCTTCGGGTGGGCTTCCTGTAAAGGTATGGGTAGCCACTGCGTGAACAAGAGTGTTGGATTAGATGTGCCTCTTTGAGCCAGGGCTGTTCTCATGTGTTCGCTGTCCTCTAGGGTTACCTAGATGTTCAAATCTATAAAGCCCCGTTCACAACCACAAATTCTGTACCAAGGAAGAGATGGTACATACCGACACATAAATGCATCCCCCACCGTAGGCACTGTAGGGAGGCGGGAAGGCTGTTCCAAAGGGACCCAGTCGGTGGACTCTCAAGTTCTATCTATGACTGTAAGACCGTTCGGATCCATGTAGACTTTCTCGGTACTAACCATACCACGTTTGCTTCTCTCCTTTTCTTCTCTTTCCTCCCGTCCCCTTTTGCCCCCCCTCCATTTGAAGTTCCACCCAATCTGACCGTCCCCCAAGAAAAGTCGCCCTTGGTCACCAGAGAAGGAGATACGGTGGAGCTGCAGTGCCAGGTGACGGGGAAGCCCAAACCCATCATCCTGTGGTCCAGGGCGGACAAGGAGGTCCCCATGCCGGATGGCTCAATGCAGATGGAGAGTTACGACGGGATCCTGAGGATTGTCAACGTCTCAAGAGAGATGACCGGGACTTACAAGTGTCAAACGAGTCAATACAATGGATTTAACGTCAAGCCAAGAGAAGCTCTGGTCCAGCTCATTGTACAGTGTGAGTCCATGTGTCCTGTTTTCTTACCTCTTGTCGCAGTTGGCTTATATTGTCGTTTTCTGGGCAGGTTCTTCTCTGTAGAACTTCTCTTGTCCGTTTGCGATCAATCTGCTTACCAGTGTCTTAGGATGTGAACTTTGTGACCCCTCTGAATCAGCCAGAACCTTACACAACATTGTGTGATCTTTAGGGAAGGGTAAGTCCCAGACAGGCCAAAGGAGGCGCCTGTTTTGTCTGGGACTACTGTATCAAAGCATCTCCAAATGTGTTTAGGTATTTTACTTAGCATTGTGCGCTTCTCTCAGATTGTCTGTGTGGGTTTCCTTTTTAAATGTCTTTGCATAGCATCGTAGTCAATCGATTCAGACCTAGCAATGAGGGGGAAAAATGTCAGAACACGTTTGGGTTACGCTGTGTGGTTGGCTTCTTGGTTTGCTCGTCTGCTGGTTTGTTGGTTTTAGACACCACTTTTCTCCTCATAGGAGGACCCTTGGCCCGCCGGAAAGGTTTGCATGCGTTGTGCTTGTGTTCTCAGAGAGGCTGTGTTCTGAGTAAAGGCTAAATTCAGGGATATTACTTTTGAAAGCAGCCCAAGTCTACAATGGAGCACTCCCAATCTTCATGGTATTTTGAGACAGCAGTTCTGTAAAATTATGTCAGGGATTCTTCCATTGGCCTCTTGGCAGAGTGTTTGATTGTATCTGAAGGGGGATATCTGTAAATGGAGAGACAGTGCTTCGATGAAGCAGGGGGTCACTTAGATCTGATTTCTCCATAAATCTCCAAAATCGAGCCTTTGCCCCCACAGTGGCACCATCACATTAGCCATTTGCCTGTTGTTTGATTTTGATTTCTGGACTTCATTAAGACTTCACTTTGGGAAAATTATAGGCAAGGTCTCCCTCCAGTTTCCGCTCCGGTAACTGAAGTGGTCCGAAATACGTACAGATATTACAGAACAAAGGAGGGAACTTGGGGTGGATTTACGATCTCAGGGAGGTCTCCTTTGGCTTCTGATTTTACATGTCTCGTGTGCATTGGTGATGTGTAAGGAAAAGGGACCAGTTAAAACAGGAGGAGACCTATGGCCATACCAACAGCAGTGGATTGCCAACCAGGGAGTTGTCTTGGGTGAAACTGGATTTCTGGATGTGATTTTACAAGCCAAAGGAGACCAGTTGAAGCAGGAGAAGACCTATGCCATACCAACAGCAGTTGATTGCCAACCAGGGGGTGTCTTGGGTGAAACTAGATTCCTGGATCTTTTTCAGTTGGATTCTGCGCCTGGTGTCGGTTGCCCTGCCTTAGATTGTATGTCTTGGGAGAGAGTTTTGGAGTGTGATTCACAATTCCTTCATTGCTCAACGGCTTTCAGTAGCAAAGCCCTTGTATCTATCTTTTGGGAGCATCTGTCTGAGTTTAAGAAGATGGGAAGGTCTGTTTTATGTGGCTCTGGTGTTGCGGAAGAGGAGGGCCCAGTGGAGTTCCTACAAGGGACCAGGCTTAACCCCTGTCCTGTTGAACACGCCTCTAAAGCTCCAGAGCGAGGTGGTTTGGAGTTCTAGGATCCAGTAAGCTCGTCACACCCAGGTTGATCTGTGCTTTCATCTTCGGGATCGTAGAATTGTAGAACTGGAGGAGATTCTGAGTGTCATTCGGTCGACTCTCATGTCAAAACATTCCTGCCAGGTGGCCGTCTGTCCTCTCCTTACAATCCCCATTGACTACCTCGCAAGGCCGTCCTTTCCACTTTTAAACAGTTCTTCCTCTCGGGAAGTTCTTCTAATATTTAGACAGAATCTTCTTCGTTGTCATTTGGATTACTTCCACTTTCTCGCAAGGCCGTCCTTTCCACTTTTAAACTGTTCTTCCTCTCAGGAAGTTCTTCTTAATATTTAGACAGAATCTTCGTTGTCATTTGGATTACTGACACTTCCGGTGTTAACACAGGGAGCGATAGAAAACAAATTGGCTCTATCTTCAGGTTTATAAATTGTGATTCTTGTGTCATTTTCCCGTCTTCTCTTCTTCAACTCCGGCTCCTTCAACCATCCACCGTGGGCTTGGCCCCCATACCTAGGAATCTGTGAATGGGCTAAGTCACCGCTGGTCTATGGTCACCTGCTGGATGAAGGCCAGGAAGCCAGAGCTCCATCCAGAGAAGACCAGATGCTTTTATAGGCCACGATGTTTGAGTGGTGTTCAACCTTCAGAACTCCTGAAGCCCCTTGGAATTCATAACCTGGGACACGGGTGGCAAGCTTTTGGCGCTCCAGACATTTTGAGCGATCATGCTCACAGTCCTTTATCATTGATTATACGAGCTGGGGATCCTGGGAGTCGTAGTCCAAACATCGGAAGCACCAACAGTTTACCATCCCTGAGGTCTTATGGCTTCTCCTGGACGTGTCACTGTTTAGGTGGGTCCCAGTGATGTTGAGTGCCTTCTGCTGTGCTCAGCTGATGTCCCAGCTGTAGCTCCTCACCTTAGAAGGTGTACTCTATTCCCAACGGTCTTTCTCTGGCAATCTCTAGATTAGATCAGTGCAGTACATTATCTGTAGACTGCCTCTGAAGACAGTTTGAGGAATCTAGCGGACACAGCATGGAGTGGCCTGACTGATCTTGTGGTCCAAAAGATCTAAGCCTAGGACACTTCCCCAGGACCAGCTGCAACAGCGGCCCATGGGTTTCTGGGCCCAATAATAAGTGTTGCCCTAGGGCTGTGGTTCATGACCCCAACATTTGAGATAAGTCTGTTCCTATCATGAACTTGCCCATACAGTAGTGCCCCGCATGACGACGATAATCCATCCCAGGAAAATCACTGTTTAGCGAAATCGTCATCATGCAAAAACCCTTTCCCCATTGGAATGCATTAAAACCCGGTTTAATGTGTTCCAATGGGGAAAATACCTTGTCGTCCAGCGAAGATTGCCCATAGGGAAGCCATTTTGCGAGCACCGATCAGCTGTAAAAATGGCTGCCTTGCGAAGCATGGGTCTGGAAAACACAAGGCAGCAGTTTTGCGGAGCGAAAAAAATCGTCTTGCAAACAAACAGTTTGCGAAGCATGGACCTAATTGACATGCAGCAAAAATCCCCCATAGGAATGACTGTTTTGCCAATCGCTATAGTGATCGCAAAAAATCATCATCATGCAGATTTGTTGTTTGCTATAGTGATTGCAAAAAGTCATCGTCATATGGATTTGTTGTTTAGCGGGGTCATCATTTAGCGAGGTACCACTGTATCTTAGTATGGACATTTGAGATCCTCTGAATATGATCGAAGGCTGATGGCAAGAACATTGAGGGATGGGTGTGTTGTATGGACATTTGAGATCCTCTGAATATGATTGAAGGCTGATGGCAAGAACATTGAGGGGTGTGTGTGTTGTCTTGTTTTGTTGTTGTTGTTGTTGCTCTTCTCATAAGATGGCCAAAGTCTTGGAGCTTCTGCTTCAGGATCTGTCTTTCCAGCGAGCACTCAGGGTTGATTTCCTTTAGAATTGATAGGTTTGTTCTCCTTGCAGTCCAGGGGACTCTCAAGAGCCTCCTCCAGCACCACAAGTCAAACGCATCAATTCTTCAGCGGAAACATAGCCATTCCTTTGACCGGTGGTTTTCCTGCTGCGATTAAATGCCCATTTCCCCCCGCATTAGCTGGCATGTTGAGGGTAGGAGTGAAGGCTGAGCCATTTGCCTCCTCTCACTCACATCCCTGTCTTGCCTTGCAAAATGATGCTGATTCTCAGCTGCAGATCTGGATCTTCTCTTGAAGGGAGTGCTGTTGGTTTAAATTTTACCCTACTTCTATTTACTTAATTTATATACGGGCCCATTAGCGCAAAGCACTATTCTGGGTGGTTTACAATGTTAGGTAAAATAAAACGCAACCATAAAGAATAAAATCATTGATACAACGATCAAGCAGTTAGATATCGCGATTAAGCAACCACGAGATGCCTTGTTTCCCAACAAAGGACAGAATTGGAGGAAACAAAGCCAAGCGGAGAGACCTCTTTGAAAAGCAGCATTTCCAGTAGCCTTCTAAACATTCAGAGGGAGGGAGGGAAGGAGTTGCGGCTCAACTAAGAACTGGTTCCACATTGTAGGTGCCACAGCTAAGAAGGCCCGGCTTCTTTCTTGAGGATGGTTTCATGGCCACCCGGAGGAGCGTGGCTTGGGAGGATCTGGTGGTGCAGGTAGATGACCTTGAGAAACAGCGCTCCGACAAGTAACGTGGTCCCAAACCATGAAGGGCTTTATAGGTATCAAAACCTTGAACAGGTAGCCAGTGGAGGTGAGCCAGAACTGGGGGGATCTGGTGAAACTTGTTCACACCCGCCATCCGTCTGGCCACCACATGCTGGATTTGCTGTTGTCTCTGGGCCAGCCTCAAGGGAAGCCCCACATAGACAGGATTACAGTAGTCAATCCAGGAGCTGACTGAGGCATTCAACCAGCATCCTGAGGGCTCCCTTGTCCAGGTAGGGGTGGAGCTGGGGGACGAGCCTCAGCCAATTAAAGGCTGACCTGCAGTCTGGGAGTCTGCAGAAATGGGTCTAGGATCACTCCCAGACTCTGAACTTGGCCCCTGTGGAGAAGGACTGTGCCATCCAGCCTGGGGAGAACGCTGGGGGACGAGCCTCAGCCAATTAAAGGATGACCTGCAATCTGGGAGTCACAAAACAGAGATGGGTCTAGAATCACTCCCAAACTGTGAACTTGGGGGACCTCACAGGGGCAGGTTCTTCACACACACACCTTTTTTTTGGGGGGGGGGAGACCTCACAGGGGCAGGTTCTCCATCTTGTCTGGCTTCAGTTTGAGCTTGTTAGTCCTGGAGGGCAGCAACCGGCTGCTCCGAGAGCTTCGAACGACAACTCCCAGAGGCCCAGCCATTATGGCCGCTGACCAGAGATTCCGGAGCCCAAAGCAAAGCTTGAAGACGTGCGCCGACATCAGTCTGTTCTAGGAGAAAACGACCGAGAGAGCC